GCTTGTATGGCTTTAGCAAAGTAATTTTCTGTTCAATTCCGCATACGTACGATATTAATTGTGACTTATTGCAATCACGATTTCGAAATGTTAAAAAGATGTACAAATAGAAATATCAGAGACAAAACTATTTAAAAAAGACATATATTCACAACAGACAGTTGTGTATAAAACAATACGGACACAGTATAAATAAATTCCACTTTCAATTCACATCACAATTTTTCTTGTAATTTATTGGGTTACAAGTGATGCGTAATATTACATACAATTTTGCATAATATGCTTAATAATTTGTAATAAACAATTAATAATTACTATAAGAAAAGAAAAGTATATCGTGATAACCTAGGAATATTTTATCACTGGATCTCTAAGCGCAACCGCTTTTTATAGAAGTTTTGTTAATTTATAATAAACCAGTTCAACCCCATCTGGTCTAAAGATGTCTCTTTCCAGAAGACAAATCTTTCATAGATAAAATTTTCATGCAAGCATTGCAGGGTAAACAACATATCAAGTCCTTTCATATTGAGCAACAATTTCCCCAATAACTCACTTTAAATCTTAGACTGAACATACATTCACATATCAAAGATGACGCAATCTCTTTAATAAAGTTCCTATCATGCATATTCTCTCCGGAGATTTGCTTATTTCTTAAAGATGTTTAATGATATGTTATGATTTTATCCGATCTTGAGCAAATCATGGTCGTATCCGTAATATGATGTGCACAGATATCAAACAGCTTATACGTACCAAATGTAATATTTAATAAATTGTCGGGAACGAAAAAAAGACAGTAACTAATGTACGCATCCTTGAACTGTACATTTTAAGTAACACACGCGACAAACCATTTATTTCAAGCAATGTTAGTCTGGTTCAAACGAGTTTGCATGTCATCTTTCTCATAAAATTGTTTCCTATATCAATTACTTTAAATATATTTTCAGAAACTGATGAATCCATTACAATTACCTATTTGCCACGTGTTTATTGACTAAATTGTGTTTGTATGCTACTCGTTTCTACTGGAATGTTATTTAATCACCTTACGGATATGGTGTCTGATAGTTACATATATTTGCAATTTCCTTTGACTGCTTGTGATACATTTTTCTCCTCTCTCTAAAGCCCATATTTAGCTTTGCGAATTTTATACGGGTGTACTGCAAGCAGTTTTTGTTTATTTAGGGAACGAACGTTTTTGTGTAATGGTAAATGAATTTAACTCATGCATCCATCACAATTACATTCTTGTCATGTCACTTGTTGATTTACAAATTTGTGTTTGTATGCTAAACGTTCCTAATTGAATGTTAATTAATCACCTTTCGAATATGTTGTCTGATAGTTACATATCTTATCAATTTCGGTTTACGACTTCTTTTCATGTAATACATTTTATTTCGTCCCCACTTTTAGTTTTGCGCATTCTTGTCAGATGTGGACATATAAACATTTAAGTATTACCTCATTTTTACTCATAACACATTACAAAGGACAATCATATCAATTTGCAAATATGTCTTAATACAATATTTTTCGATGATAAATAGTGAAAAGGAAACCATAATCCGACAAGGCAAATAGAATAAAGAAAAGTTTTAAAAAGAGTTAAGATATACGTAAATGAATAAATTGGCTCCCATTAAGGCTTTAACCCTCACCCCATGTTAACTACCTTGTAATAATAAATCTATTTTTGCTGTTTCACAATAAATGATGTATGTTGAAAACGGAACAGGAAAATATTATTTGGGAATGCAAATATTTCTTGCAAAACCAAGCATTTAAACAACAAATGTAGCTAAGATATTTCAAGTAATTTATATAATCTTTGCCGTCTTGGAATACATTGCAACATACCTAGTATGAATTTTACCATACCGGAATTGAAATTAAAAATGAAACACGTTCGCTTTACGATGCACATTTTCATTTGTAGCAAGTTCCAAGATTTTGTTTATTAAATGCCATTTCTTAATAATATCCACGCAATTTTATGGAAAGATAGCCTCGATTGTATAAGGTGCATTTCAGTGTTATCCAAATTAGCTTGCAAGGTTGTTATTTTTTATAGTTCTGACCTAATAAATAGGTGGCAGTTGTGTTGGCGGGGAAAAGGCGTAGTATTCCGGAACATATAATTTGATATGAAAGGGTATTATATTTTACTGTATTTCTTATGATAGAATTTAAAACTTATGTAAGGAAAAAATCGAATTATTTGCATTTTCATATATGCATGGTTAAGTTGAGAAAATGATTATCTTTAGGCCTAAAGTCGTTGGACATTTTAAGCAATGCGGTAAAAGTTTGAAATATTCAGAATTTGTCTTCCTATTAAATGTCTTGTGTTTGTCACCACAACATTGACTGATTGTGATTATTCATTGTCCATTTATATCATTATCATTTAGGGATGGCGTTTGTTGTTTTATTTTCCTAATGTCGTTAAAAAATTGACTGACATCATCTTAAAGTGATTTTTATGATAATTCTTTACATTCTTTAAGGGCGATAAGAAACAGGTTTAATTATCTACCTTTAGTTAAGCGACTTCAATCACGAGAATGACAGTTAATTCATTACTTATTAACCCTTAATTAGAGGCATCCCGTTGTGTGGGTGAGAGATAATAATCAGAGAAAAGCATTTGTTTAAGTGTCTGATTCATTATCAATTGATTGAAGACGCTAACATCGAATGAAGTTCCGTTGATCAAATCACAAATTCTTATGAGAATGCTCATATATTCAAGGTTGTCTAGCGTTTAAATAACTTTGCACAATTCACAGAATTTACAACACTGCAGTCAATTTATAAAATGAAATGGCTTTCGGCATATTGACATCATTAACTTCTTTACTAGAACGTCGATACATGTTTCCATCTTATTAAATTAACAACCTCGTGATATTGCGTTGTTACGCCTCATATAGCTCTCAATAAATGTAGCTTCTCAAAGAGCTTTAATCTTCGACACATTACTACAAGTGCAACGGATATAGCTCCAACAAATGGAGTGCTGTGTACGTCAAGAGGCAACATTGTGACTAATATCGCTCCCCAAGTATAAACATGCATGTTTGTATTTTTCATATATAACAAACAAGTTACGTTTTTGCAACAATGTAAATTGTCATCGTAATCATCAGCATAAACAACACATCATTATTACCTTCGTGTATAGATCTATTAACCATAATGCTGTCAAACCATGGTAGGTTTAAATTTTCAGCTATCTAAAGGCGTAAGGTAGTTACATCAAGACATCTAGACAACACTAAAACATATACTAATAAAATACATTTAAACTTTGCTCTTAGATCTTATAATAATTATAAAAAACAGTAACATTCAAGCGAAAGAAGAAAAAAACAATTAAGAGTTACAAGTTCATAGGGATCAGCCTGTCAATGTGAGTTTTCATGTCATTTTTGGGATAGATAAAAGTTTTAAAATTTATGACTTTTGAATGTAGAATTCTCATGTAAGTACGAGGCTACGGTTTGTAGTTATAACGTTCATCTATTTATTCGAACAACGTTTTTATCAGAGTGTCGAAAAATCGTCAATTACATAAGTCGCAGTAAGGTTGAATAGTGTACTTCAGAAACATTTGATTATATAGAAAAACGTATCCCAAATGTGATTCCACGCAAGAACCCAGTTACTTAGTCGAAATTGTATTTATCATTATTGCATATTATAACAGACATTTTGACTAAATATGACGCATGTCATAGAATGATAATATAACAACGTAGGTATTGAATACGTTCTTAAACATTGAGTCAGATGGAATACAGTGCGCAAGATTTTTTGTATGGAATTTCCCTACAGAATTATCACTGAAGACTTGAACATGTCTAAGGTTTGTGTTGCTACCAATTTAATATTTACACAAATAGTAAGCCAGTTTATCGTCGTGTTCCTTTTTGTCTGTCAGCTCATTTCATCATGAGTATTATGATTTGAATATTAAAGATTTGAAGACAATTTTGATATTGTTTCAAGCCTTGAACTTTAATATGCACACTATTTTTTATTTTAATATTCACAATTAAACGTTAGGTTGAAAGGCCAATTGTACCCCAGAAAAAATGCTTTATTTACTTTTCCAAATGAATTTTATTTTTGATTAACTAACAAGCACCTGTACTTTCTTTATCTTCTCGCAAGTTAATTAGTTGAATCTTTTTGACAATTATTACAATCATAGTGATATAGTATTTTGTATTGAAGACAAAGTTTTACTTTGTTTCCATTTTGGTATAATCTTTATAACAAAATGTTTCATATCTAGCATATTTTTTCTCAGGTGCAAACATGTAGCATGGTTCAAAACTATTGTTTAAACAATATAAACTTCATATTTGCCCTTTCTGAAGAAAAGAAAATGTATTCATTTCTGAGGAATAATGTGCCTTTTAGGAGTTAAATATTGTGGTCCATGTTTATCTTACCCTTATGTTACATACACATCGTTGGTAGAATTGTGTTATAGTCGTGTCCATTTGTCTCTTATCATTGATTTCGTTACAAAAAACCTTTGCTTTATCTTTTTATATTCACTATACGGCAAGTGGGATATCCTTAAAATCTAAGTGTCTGTCATTTATCAAAAGAGATCGCTTTTAACAAATTGAATGTCTCTTTTAAATATGTATATTTTTCCACAGAAACATAAGAAGTATGATAAAAATGACTGCTGCAATAAAGTTCAAACCCTACATTTTCATTGAATTATTTCATATTCTATATTACCTTATCTACTTAAAATCATAGTTCAACAAATCAAACATGTCGAGCCTTTGCTAGTCACAATAACCGTAATCTGATTAAGTGTTATATTTTTTTCCTCTTTCTTTTACCAATTGAGGGAATATCACATTTTGACCAATACCATGCGTCTAATTTTACTCTTTCAATGTTCATTGAATGGCAATGCAATTGCGAATCTGTCAAGCAGTGTTAGAAATCTTTGCATTTAAATTATTATTGTTTATTTAAAGGTTTGACGACGTGTATCTAATATACTAGCTTCCATATCTGAACAACTCTTCTCTTGTGCTTCTTGCAGTTGAACATCTTTTCACTGGTTTACTCTTTCTAAATAGCTTTAGTAATTCGTACCGGAATCTTTTACCCGATAGTATGTATATGAAAAAGTTTCCTGAATAATTAAGCAAAGAAATCGATACAGATACATCCACAAAAGGTTTTAATGCAACATACGTGTTCCTTGCAGTTTCAAGTGACCCGATCTTAATTGTTATGTCAACTATCAAACTGAGGGTGAATAAAGGAAACAGTGTAAGGATATACATGAATGTTACTATTAATAGCATTGCTGTGCTCTTTTGTCGTCGTTCACGAGCTCTACCATTTCTGTATGTAAGATAATTCTCTTCATTCACAAGATCCTTTCTTACTTTAAAGATGTGAAATAAAACAATACTATTACATATGATAATGAAAACTATAGGTAGCACAAACACAAGTGTCCAAAGGTAAAAATACACGTCAAGACTGGTGTACAGGTTTAAATATTCCTTTGCCGCTAAACAGTCTCTTATATTGTTTCGGTCATCGTAGACGATATGTTCCACCATTACAATTCGAAACGACTGCGTCAAACATGCAATAAGAAAAAGTAAACTGATTGCAGCGGCTGCGCCAATTTCTTTCCGGAAGTAGACTTTTTTAAACGGAAAACATACTGCTATAACACGTTCAACAGCCATAATTACGACTAGCCATGAACACATCAAAGTTATTACATGTACAGCAAAATTAAATAATTTACAACTTCCATCATCAAAGTGTTGAAATACGCCCTTCGTTTTTTCATATGATACGAGGTATTCATCCACACTTTCCACTTGTCGAATTATCAAGGTCAAAGTATCGAACACAGCTAGTGCACATAGATAATGCGAGTAGGACTTGCGACGTAGCGGTTTGGTTTTCATTACAAGAAATGAAAGCAGGTTCCCAACAATTCCTACAATAACTATAAGTGGTGTTGACAGAAATTTTATCCAGAATCCCCATTTTGGTATTACAGGTAGTTGAAAATCATCTGCAATGAAATATATATTTATATTTATCTCAAATCAAGATCTATTCAATAATTTTATGATATAAATGCTGACACTTTCAACTACTTTTAACAACAGATACTTAAAATTGAAAAAAAATCAATAGAATTTTAGATAACAGAATAACTAAATTGTAGTCAACAGATTGTTAAAAGCATATGTTGTTTACGAAATATTTTAACCCATTTTGATTGATGAATTTTTAATGAATGATTCGCTGATGTCTGCTTGTCGTCTGTCATTGTAGTTGATTGACACAAATTATGTTGTAAAAAGGCATTTCTTAAATGGTTACATTTCATGGAATAAACTTTAAAACGGTTCTTTTTGACCAATACAAATCATCGCGATTAAATTCTTGGATGGTTTTTTTAAACATTATCACTTGTCTGCTTTCTGCTCCTTGACATTTCAGTACCATTGACTTTAAGGAAGGCCACTGAGGTGCAAAAGCTACAAAACAACCTTAACAAAAGGTCCCCCTGGGCTCCTTGCCATTGGTTCTTGTTGCTGGGTCATGTGGGGGTTGCGTTCATTGAACGCCGCCTTTCCTTGTTGATCTTGTTTATCATATTTTAAGTTTTAAATCTTTAACATGGAGCAACGTTGGCTCTCATAACAGTATAATATGCAATAGATAATTAAGAAATCTATTCAGAAATAAATTAAAAATCGTTCAGTGTGCTATTCATAGTCCTTTTTAAGTGAAAAGCGTTGCAACGCTTTTCAACGTTGGTAATTTTTCACAATTAGAAAAGTTATTCTGTTAAATTGTTATTTTGACCTACATCAAATGAAACATTAATTCAAAAACTTATTTCTAGTCCCGTCATGTCAAAACTATTAATGGCTTCCTTTTAACTACAAAGATAGTGTCGTACCGTTTTTGATATGTATTTGAAATAGTTGAAATATACATTTTGTATTAAAAAAGGAACACATTTTAAAGTGACGTAAAAAAATAAATAGTATTCTCACACTACGTTTGATATCTCAATATGTTTGCTAAGTGACTTGCATCTTACCTGAACTTAAGAATGTAAGATTACTTCCGTTTATCCAACTCTCGTTTTCATCGGGCATATAATCCATTGTCCTCACTTTTCACTTATACTTAATACAAAATCCTGAAAATATGTATAAAAAAGACTAAAAAAATGTCATATGACAAGTGTGCTAGAACGATAGAATATTTTTTATATAAATATATGACAAATAAATTATGACAGTACATTAACACTTTTTTTACGGTAAAGGGTTCTTAAATGGAATGTAATGAATGTTGTTGTTTTTATGTTTTATGTATATTTGAATTATTATCATTTGTTACAGTTGTCATAACTACTATACAAAATAAATAAATTTATGCTAAAAATAACTTTTGAAATATAGTTATGTGTGCGTCAAATAGATGAAATTATTTACTATGTTACATTTTTGTTCTTACTTTTTCATAACGTGTCACCAAAACTCAAATATAATCAAAGAAGTGTTTGAACAAATCTGATTATCTGATAATTGCTGCAAAAAAAATTAAATTTCGTTACTTTATTGTATTATTATTTTTATATATCTATTCTAGTTCTGATTACATTAATAGTAAACATTGATAAAAACTTCGTCAAAAACAACTATAGAAATTGTTACAACTTAGACAACATTCTGTTTTAAATTCAAAATATTCAGTTTTCCAAATTCCTAAATGTATTTAGAACAATATACTTTATAACAAAAACACTTAATTTAAATGTATCACAACGATTCACGTTTAAAATATACATTTATTATTTATACTGAATCCGAAAACATACTTTTAAAACAAAAACATGTCCAACACAATTATCTTACACGTTTGACACTTCACATAACAAAGCTATCGGTATTTAAAGTAATGTTTCAGCGAGGCAGCTCATAGACAAATATTGGATAAGATGAAAAGACTCGTTTGAATATTATTGGTTAAATCATTCACTGGAATGTAACAGCTCACCAATTATGTCAATGAATAAACAATCCGCTATTCGCATGTAAACGACTTATTAAAATGAGCTAAGGGATCAACTGGTTAGACGAATAATGCACACTTGTCTTCTGATAGATGAAACTCAATTAATTTCAACAGAATATTTTTTAACGTCTTAACAAACTCATACTCAATATACGTACTGTTACTAAAATATCTGAAAAATAAATATATAATAATATACTAAATGGTGATAAAAACAATATTATAGTGTACCAAAAATATGGTGATTACTGTAAAAATGCTTTTATGTTAATAAATCAACGAAAGTTGAATGATATCAAATGAGCTAAGGGGTCAACCTTATAAGACGATGTCACAAAATGTATGCAACCTTTGAACAACCTTTGTCAGAAGGTTTTTTAAATATATTAATAAGTTAAAATGTTTCATATTTATTTAATATGTTAAAACGTTGAAAATTATACAGCACACTTCTGATAGAATTATAGTGTATTAAATATACAGTTTTGTAATATAGGACTAAAAGCTATATGTATTTTCAAAACATGATAAATAGTGTCTGTTTTGAATTATCTTAGAACAGGTTCTGTAATCACGTCAGTTGTTGGAAATATTATATATTCATGTATATGAAAGAAAAATTTTGACTAAAACTGTAATACTAAAAACAGCAGGCATACCTACAATGAAATTTGACAGAAATACAACGTTCATTTTCTTGGTATAAAAAAACCAAACAATTACTTCCTGTAAAGAAACCTTAATTCTTACATATGCTTGTGTTTAAATAAGTGATGTCACCGATGCCGGAAAACTCAACTATTGCACAAAAAAGACTGATTAACATTTTTTACCAACTCGATTCAATGAGATTCATTTAAGTTCCATTACACATCATTAAATGTTTGAATATTTAAGGTCCGTATGAGTAGCATGTCTGTTTCCTTGATGGAAAGCGGTGTGTATGACTGGTGATGGCAAGACAGGGCAGAGTTAAAAGTCTAAGGACAAGAACGCGAAGGAATACATCAAAAATATGATAGTGTAATTCTTTGAAAGCAATATTTCTTCAATGTTTTAAACATGTACACTACTTTCGTTAATATTATCTAAAAATGAATGTATATATGTATATATGTATAAACGCATTTTATTTATATATAATAATACTAATATAATGAGCGTGTAAGGAAGATAAATATCTTATAAAAATATAATAAATGCCGACAACGTGAAATATTTATCTGATATACCGGTATGTTTTAGTTTTATCTACAATGCTAACAATTCTGTTTGTTTTGACCATTCACGCTAGTATAATAAACTATGTACTCTTAATGGTAAAACAACTATATTATATTGTTAAACAAATAAAAACAACATATATTAATATAGTCTTACAGTCCAACTCGACTTGACATATCAGTAATTGGCGTTGGTACCAGCTGTTTGAATTGTTCAATTAGCTAGTTAAGAAAGGATATTAGTCGAAACAAGCTTACCGAAAAGTCGACGACTACTACATTCCAATTATTCTCATGAATACCCTCAAAATATATGTGTGATCTATTAAAAACACAGTTCTTTTAACCTCTGTATAAATTTAACATGTACTATACAGAACTATACAGCAAAGGTGTTCATGCATAACATACATGTATATTAGAAGGGTCGACATCTTACAAGTAAAGAATTGTACATAAAAGAAGCTTAAGGTTTGCAAAGGGTGCATTGCAGATTAGTTTTAGCATTTGTCTAGTAATTTGAATAACAGTTACTTATTATCAGGTGCATAATTACTGCATAGTGTTTCTTGACAGTTCCGAAAACTCCTTCAAGAAGAAAACTTGTTTTACTTGCTCAGCTGCATTACAAAGGTCATTGGCATAACTCCCATCTGGCTTAGCATTGTAAATTTCATTATAGCCAATTTATTCCATCGTAGCTGATGTCTTTTCACAACAAAGTTGAATTTTCATTTTACTACTTTTCTCTATTAGATTGTAGCAGAATTTGATCAAATTGTTTCAAGGGATCAGTTTTGTTTACGTTCTTCAATAACGCAATTATTACTTTCAGCATTGGAATCACCTTTGTTATCCAATCAATGTCTCGCCAATCATAAAGAAATCATAAGTCGGCACGTTTAATGATTTAATTTCTTCGGGATCTCTTGGTTCAATTAATTTTATTGCTTTACCACATCAGCGATTTTGATTTTATTTGAATGCCTATTAAACTGGCCCCGTATATTAAGACAGAGTTCAGCACGACATAATCGTGGAACTTTTATTATACCCCGCCGAAAAAGCGGCGGGGGATATAGTAATAGTCTCCGTGCGTCCGTCCGTCCTTCCGTCCGACATTTTTGTCCGGAGCATATCTCAAAAAGTATTTGAGTTATCAACTTGAAACTTCATAGGTGGATTGACCCCATTGAGGAGGTGTGCAGTGCACAAGAATGATAACTCTACCCTGCATATTTTTTGAGTTATTGCCTTTTGTTATTTTTCAAAAATAATTTTTGTCCAGAGCATAACTCAAAAAGTCTTTGAGATATCAACATGAAACTTCATAGGTGCATAGATCTCACTCAGGAGGTGTGCAGTGCACAAGAATGATAACCCTACCTTTTATAATTTTGGAGTTATTGCCCTTTGTTATTTTTCATACCTAATTTTTCACTGAGTGGAGCATAACTCAAAAGTGTTTGAGAAGTCAACATGAAATGTCATGGGTGGATAGATCTTATTTAGGAGGAATGCTGTGCACAAGAATGATAACTCTTCTCTATACAATTTTTGAGTTATTGCCCTTTGTTCTTTTTCATACTATTTTGTCCGGAGCTTATCTCAAAAAGTATTTGAGGTATCAACTTGAAACTTCATAGATGGATGGATCTCATAGAGGAGGAGTGCAGTGCACAAGAATGATAACTCTACCCTGCATAATTTTCGAGTTATTGCCCTTTGTTATTTTTTCAAATTAATTATTGTCCAGAGCATAACTCAAAAGGCCTTTGAGATATCAACATGAAACTTCATAGGTGCATAGATCTAACTCAGGAGGTGTACAATGCAAAAGAATTATAACTCTACCTTTAATGATTTTGGAGTTATTGCCCTTTGTTATTTTTCATACTTATTTTTGCACCTGAGTGGAGCATAACTCAAAAGTGTTTGAGATGTCAACATGAAATGTCATGGGTGGATAGATCTTATTGAGGAGGAATGCTGTGCACAAGAATGATAACTCTCCCCTCTATAATTTTTTAGTTATTGTTCTTTTTCATACTATTTTGTCCAGACTTATCTCAAAAAATATCTTAGGTATCAACTTGAAACTTCATAGGTTGATAGATTTTACTGAGGAGGGGTACAGCACACAAGAATGATAACCTACCCTGCATTATTTTTCAGTTATCGCCCTTTGTTATTTTCAGCCATCAGTATTCATATAGGTTTCAAATCTGTAATCACTTTTTTCTAATTAACTAGGCATGTGCTATAGTACAAGGATGCCGCTACTTCACATGCCTGTGAAAGTACCATTATACAAGTTATTGATTGGTCAATGGCTTAATATTTAGCGTCATTGGACCCTTATTTTATGATCCAATGACTCAAAATTATTAGGTGTCATCTACTGATATGATCCTTCTAGGTTATATTAAGCATTGCTCATTCCTACTAAATTATTCATCAGACAAGGAGTTTACATGAAGCGTCATGATTACCTTGACCCTTGACCTCAAACATCCTTATAGGCTATTTACTGTCTATGGGCAACGTCCCTACCAAATAAAATAAACCAGGACTTATTCCTCCTAAAGTTATCGTATAAACAAGGTAAACATGCCTTTGTACGTGCAAACTGACCAATTCTATCACATAATTGTCCCTATAAAGGGCTATTACTTCAAAATCAATGGTTGGTATAAGAAGTAGATTATTACCCTTATCAGTAACGGTTGTTTTATGATGAAAATACTTAAGTCTTTTTGACTGGTGGCGCAATCATATTGTGCACTATGTTATAATATCAAGGACATTTTTAATTTCAGTTTTTTAGATAGACAAAATAGCAGAATGAACACAAATTAAGC